ATATATGTTGGTATCTGCCTTAATGCTTTTGCATATGCTTCTATAGCTAAACTTTTTTTTCCTTCAACTGTTCTTGCTAAATTATCTACTGCATTACTCATTAACATTTCAGCACAACCAGCTCCTAAGACTACACGATTATCTTTCATTGTTTCAGATAGTACTGCCAAAGCATCATGTAATGAACGCTCACTTTCCTCTAGTATATGTGTTGATGCTCCTCTTAAAATAATAGTACATGCTCCATTTTTCTTACAACCTGAAAAACGTACTAATTTATCTTCTCCTATTATAATTTCTTCTATTTTATCACAATAACCTAGTTTTATATTTAATCCCTTTTCAAATGTAGATGCAATTTCAGCATCTAAACAATTTGCTAATCTTTCCATACCATCAAAATCACTATGTTCAATTGTCATGATATTATTTTCTCGAAAGATTTGTTCTGGATAATTATATATCAATTGTCTATTTATAAAAACATTACATCCATGAGATATTATATTTTCTACTTTACTTTTCATTTTTAATCTTTCTTCATTTTCTAAATCTTGTACATCTTCAAAACTGTGTACATTTACTTTTGTCCCATAAATTTTTATCTTATCAGTATCCATAGGTGTATTAGCAACCATTACTTTACAATTATTTAAAATCTTAGGCTGATTAATTCCTATTCTCTTTTCTAAAATAAAACCTTCTTCTAAATATGAATCTTTAATTGTACCACCCGTTTTCTTTATTATTTGTATTAAATCTAAATTTAAATTATCTTTTATTCTTAATATTGCATTTACAGCTAGCTGCGCAAAATGTTCTTTTTCATGTGTTAATAACTTGGAAGATAATGTTGTTCTAGCTATTTTTAACATATCTTCTTTAAACAAATCAGAATCTATATCATGACAAAAACATGAATCTAATAAAGCTTCTCGTGCTGAAGCTAATGCCATACGAAATCCATCACATATTATTTGAGGATGAATTTTATTTTCAACTAATATTTCTGCATTTCTTAACATTTCAGCAGCTAATACAACAACACCTGTAGTACCATCACCACATTTATTATCTTGTTGCATACTCACATCTACTAATATTTTAGAAACAGGATTATCTAACCACACAGATTTTAATATAGTTGCTCCATCATTTGTAACAGTATGTTGATGAGACCTAGTTCCCTCAATATTTAAAGGTGTTAAAATTTTATCTAAACCTCTTGGACCTAATGTACTTTTAACTAAATCTCCTACGGCGATAGCACCTACAAAATATTGTAGTCTCGCAATTTCGCCCTTATCTTCTTGGGCCCCTTCTTTTAAAACATCAGGCATAACAGAATTCATCTAAAAAGAAAAAATAAAGTATAAATAAATAAATATATAAATATATAAATATATATATACATTTACTTTAGATAAGAGCCTGTGCTCTTATAACATTATAAAAAATAAAATTATATAATGGTGTTCACAATATATTTAACATATATAAAACGAATAAAACATATATATGCAAACGAACAAATATAGATATAGCCATATATATAACATTTCAAAAACATTATATTTTAATTATTCTTTTTATTTTTTTAAACTTACCATTTTATATAATTTCTATTTCACAAAAAAAAAAAAAAAAAAAATTTTATATGACACTTTTATATTTTTTATATAACCTCCTAATTTTCACAGTATATATAGTAATATTCTATAAATATTTATTTATAAAGATATAAATTAAAAATTTTGGAGATTTCTTATTTTATTTTTATGTTTTTATAAATCCTTCACTCATTCACATAATTTTCTTTTTTTTTTTTTTTTAATTTATTATATTATATATATTTTTTTTTGGAGGGGAAGAATAAAAATAAAAATTTTTAATATACATATATATTATAATATATATTATATAATAATTATATGAATAAATATATGGATATATATATATATATATATATATATATATATATATATATATAATTGTACTTTCTTTTTTTAGGGCATATTAAATGAAATTTATAAACTTTTCTTCTTATATAAAAAAAAAAATAATAAGTATATAACATATAATATATATATATATATATATATATATTTATTTATTTATTTTATATATGTTGTATCATATTTAATATTGTATTATTTTCTATAAATTTTAAAGAAAAGGTGGTGATCATTAATATATAAATAAATATAACTATATATATAGGCATGTGCAAATTATGGAAAAATAATTTAATTATATATATATGTATATAATATATTATTATGTATATATAACTTATTAATTTCCCGTGTTCATACAGAAATATAAAAAAATGATGATTTTAATATTCCATTCTGAATATATCTAAAAGATTAATTTTTTACATCATAATGTAAAATAATTAAATTTATATTACAACAGTTATATATATATATATATATATATATATATGTATGTATATTCCTTTTTTTTTTAATCGTTAAAAGAATAAATAAAAATATTCAACAATAAATTTTATTTATGTCAAGGAAAATAAAAATATAACCATGAAAAAATAAAATATAAAAATAAACCTTACTATAGTTAATAATTTAGGTGATATAATTATCTATATTTCATTATCTCATTACATTTTATTTCAATTATATATTGAAAGAATAATTTATGAAAAATTTACACATGATATCATATAAATAATTAAATATATATATATATATATATATATATATATATATATATATATAAAATAAATATATTATATATTTTTGAAACACCTTAATAGTAACTACATCTAATATTTTTAAAAAGTAAAAAAAGAAAAGAACAACAATGTTTAATATATTTTTTTTTTTTTTTTATTCATAAGATATAAAATAGGACATATAAACAGAATAAATTACTTAAAAAAATATATTTTATCATTTAATAATATCATACATCCCATAATTGGGTTTGGACACAGTTGATGTTGTATTCCTAGTTTTACTTTTTCTTTCTTATAAAAATTCCTTATAATAATAATAATTATTATTATTATTATTACTATTAACTTGAAAAAATGAGAACAAAATATAACACTTATAAATATTTATTTATTTATTTATTTATTTTTTTTTTTTATTTTCTTGTGTATTCCTATTTCTATTATGTGTGGTAAATATATTATTATTTTAATTCTATCCATATACAATTATATTTATTATACCCTCTTGAAATTTTTTATTTTTTTTTATTTTTCAACATGAATATTTTAAATGAAGAACATGAAAATTATTATTTCAATATATATTATTAAAAATGATATAAAATATAATTTTTTTTTTTTTTTTTTAATTATATATAAATATATCTTTTTTTAAATAATGTATATTACATTATGTAAAATAGGGATCTCTTTCTTATTCTTTAATATTGAGGATGGCAATAAAATAATATAATTAAATATATATATATATATATATTCATTTATTTATTTATTATTATTTATTATATATTATTTTTAATATATTCAAATAATATTCGAAGTTTATTTTAAATCATATATATAAAAAGAAAATAATACATTTACATATTACATATATAATATAATATTATATATATATACATACATATATATATCTTAATATTACATATATAATATATATCTAACCACTTAACACGCCTTTTTATATATATATATTATATATATATAATAAATATATATATATAATATTTTATATATGTATATATAACAATTTTTACTATAACTTAAAAAATTTATACATATATTATATATATAAAATATATATATAATATATATTTTTATATATATACATACTTTCTTAATGTATTAAAAAATATATATAAATAAAAATACCACATTTATGATATATCAATATAACATACATAAAATTTATTATATATTATAAAACTTGAAAGAGGAATAAAAGTATTTATCTTTTCACCCATAAATATTTTATAAAAAATATATATATATTATTGATATTATAAATATATATATAATTTATATGTATGAATAATATATATATAAATATTATACAACAAGCATTTAATATGCTTTTTTATTTTATTAAATCCCAATAAATATAAAAATATATAATATATATATAATATTATATATATATATTATATATAATAATATATATTATATTATATATTATTATATATGTAGAAAAAAAAAAAGAAAAAGAAAATTTATTTTTAAAAAGAATTATATCCTTCAAAAAAAAAAAAAAAAGGAAAATTAACTTCAATTATTATAAAATAGAATAAAGTTTATTTTATTTTTTTTTTATATTTTCTTTGAAATAATAATATAATAACAATTTTATAAATAATATATATTTTTATTATATATATTTACGTTTAATTTGCAAAAACATAAGAAAAAGTAATTCAAAATGGGATCAGGTAATTATAAATATAAATAATATGTTGGTTTAAATATATATATAAATATATATATATTTATTATATATATATATATATATATATATATATATATGTATGTTTGAATTTTTTAATATATTTTCTTATGATTAATTATATATATAGTTAAGGTTATAAATATTATATATATATAATATATATATATATTTTTTTTTTTTTTTTTTTTTTGAATTTTATAGGAAAACCAAGTGGATTAAGGGCAGCAAGGAAATTAAGAATCAGAAGAAGAACCCAAAGATGGGCTGATAAAAGTTACAAAAAATCTCACCTTGGTACTCGTTGGAAGTCTAACCCTTTCAGAGGAAGTTCCCATGCTAAGGGAATTGTTGTTGAAAAGGTTGCTATTGAAGCAAAACAGGTAAATATACACAAAAAAAAAAAAAAAAAAAAAAAAAAAAAAAAAAAAAATTTATATATATGAATATATATTTATATATTATAAAAGAAGAAAAACAAAAATAATGTATACCATATATATATGTTTATATATATGTTTATATATATGTTTATATATATGTGTATATATATGCGATATACATTATTCTTTTACATATCTTCATATATTCCATTTGTGTTCCATGTGTTTAAATAAATGAACTACATGGGTCAGAAAATGGATAAAGAAAATTAAGGAGATATATTACTTTATTTCATTTTTGTTATTTTATTAATACATAAAAAAAATAGTATATTTCTTCAACATCATTTAATACACAAAAGAATCGCATTGTCTTTCTGTATACTTATTATAAAATTTGTTTTTTTATGTTAGCCAAACAAAAAATATACCTATATATATATATATATATATATATATATGTGTACATTTTATATTTTATTATATATGTATATATTTATATTTATTTATTCAATTGTGTAGCCCAACTCTGCTTACCGTAAATGTGTTAGAGTTCAATTAATTAAAAACGGAAAAAAAATTACTGCATTCGTACCAGGAGATGGTTGTTTAAATTTCATCGATGAAAATGACGAAGTTTTAGTCTCAGGATTTGGTAGAAGTGGTCACTCAGTTGGTGATTTGCCTGGTGTTAAATTTAAAGTAGTAAAAGTCGCAAGGGTTTCTTTATTAGCCTTATTTAAAGAAAAAAAAGAAAAACCAAGATCATAAATATTCCAATATATTATCTATCATTTATTCATTTTATGGTCCATATGTGTACCATATATATGTAAAATATAATATATATATATATATATATATATATGTATCTATATTTTTTTTTTTTTTTTTTTTTTTTTTTTCATCAACTTGGTAATATACATATTTAATAAACTTAATTATAAATAATATATTTAATCTTAATTAAGGACATAAATCATTTTTGAAACAAGACGTTATTTTCATTGTACCAAAAAATATATATGTATATATAAAGTATATATATATATATATAAACATATATTTATTTTTATATGATTATTTGAATTCCCTTATTTTTACGTAACCAAACCTTATTATTTTATTCTTATTTATATGCAGAATATTTTAATAAATTTTTAATTTTACCATGTTCTTATATATATATATATATATATATATATATATAAAATAAAAATAAAGTCATTCAAATTTTCTTCTTTTAACACCCTGCTCCGTTTGTTTTTCTTTTCTTTTTCCCTTAATATATAAATATATTTGTTATACATTTATTATACATTTGTTATACATTTGTTATACATTTGTTATATATATATATATTTTCTTTTAGTACATTGTGATAAGATATAGTATTTTTATAAACACAAACATATAAAATTTGAAATAATTAACAAGGTATTTAAGGCAAGATGGACAATGTTAATAATTTATAAAAAAAAAAAAAAAAAAAAAAAAAAAAAATATATATATATATATATATATATATATATATATATAAATATTTATATATATATATTTTTTATTTGTTATAATAAGACTTATATAAAATATTATATTATACATTATATATCATATATATATTTACATGAATACAGATATAAAAAAAACATTTAAGCAATAACAGTTTGATTTTGTGATAATAAAAAGTCTTTTTCTGCTGAGTCCTCTCCAAAATCAACAACTGCAACAGAACTAGCTCCAATAATTTTTCTTGCATTTCCTTCATTATCTAATTTAAATAAACCAGCCCAATGTCCTAAATCTTTACTATCATTTTGTACCATAAATAATGGGATGTTTTTTTCTGCACATAAGGTAGTGACTAATTTTTTATATGCTGGTTCAGAGCATACATCTGATAAGAAGCATACTTTTGCTTCTTGAGATTCGATGGATTTTATAACTTCTCTAATTCCAATTTTTAGTCCGTCGTGTACATGAGCATTTTTAATAACCTACAAAAATTAAAGGAGCAAATAATATATATAATATAAACATTAGTGTTTTTTTAATTTTTTTTTTTTTTTTTTTTTCTTTTTATTTTTCATTTTTTCGTTTCACATATAATATGGATTTATTTAGCATAACAATATAAATATATATATATATATATATATATATATATATATATTTTTATTTATTTATTTATTTATATATTTATTTAATTATTATTATTTTATTAAAAATGATCTTACCTTTTGAATTGCTGTAACATTATCAAAAACAGCCTTTTCTTCAACTACTACATTATTATCAACGCTTTCAACATCACTCATTTTGTTCGAATAAATAAAAATATTATATAATTTTAAAATAATAATTAAATATATAAAAATTAAAATAAGAAAAGGAAAATTTTAAAGAATTTAATATAAAGAAATCAACAAGTGGAAATATTTTTTTTTAGTAAAAAAAAAAAATTCAGATGTTTTTTTTATTATATATATATAAATATATTTTAATTAATAGAATATTTAAAAAAAAAAAAAAAAAAAAATTTGGAAAAAAATATAAGAATAAATTTTTTTAAAAATATATCTTATATATATATATAATATATGATAGATATATATATATATATTTGGGTTATATATAATATAAATATTATATATATATATTTTTTTTTTAAATATTTTATTATGTATTATTTGGATGTATTTTGTATAATGTTACTTATAGTATATACATACATATATAATATATATATATAATATATATATATATATATATATATATATATATATACATATATATATAATAAATTTTATTTAAGGCTTATAAATACAACAATAACAATTAGTATATTATATCTAATAAATGTAATGTTCTATAATAATAAAAATATTTATATATATCCCCCATAAATATTATTTTAGGTACTATGGTAATATTATTATATACAATATTATATATAGTGGGAAAACTTACATACTTCAAAAAAAAAATATATATATATATATAAATAAATAAATAAATATATAAATAATTATATAAATATTATGATTTTATGATAAAATATATAATATATATATATATAATATATATATGCACATGCTAAATAATATATAATTTTATTGTACATCATAAAAAAACAGGTGTGATTATAAATATGTATTTATATATATTATATTAATCCATAAATATATATTATATATATATATTTTCTTTTCTTTTTTTTTTTTTTGTGAATATAAAATTATTTATATATTTTTTTAAATATTTTTAAGAAAAAAAAAATAATTAAAGAAAATGAAAATTCGATAATGAATAAAGCATCAAAAATGTAGGTAATATATATATATATATTTATTTATTTTAAAAAGTAGGTATAAAAAAAAAAAAAACTTTATATGTTAAAAAACAGTTGTATTATATATCATATGAATACATAAGAGACAAAAAAAATTCTTTTATAGTAAGGTTGTTCAATTAATAAATATACTTATTATATAGAAAATATGTTTCATCCTATATATGGAAATTATTATATAATAAATAAAAAGAACCATATAAATATTTTCCATCGAGATTAATAATATTAGATATATGTATATAATATTTATTTATGCCCCATTAAATTATCATTTATATATAGGTTTATATAATTCTCTTTTTCAAGAAAAAAAAAAATAAAAAAATCCTATTCCCTTTATACACTCATAATTATATACTTTAAGCATTTTATAAGTATTTTCAAAGGCTAATTTTAAATATAAATTTTTTTTTCAATTTATTTGGCATACTGTTTGAAATTTTTTTTAAAGGAAAAAAAAAAAAAAAAAAAAAAATTATTATATATTATTATACATATAATAAAATAAATAAATGAACAATGAAACATAAAAGAAAAAATATAATAAATTAAAATATATATAGATACATATATGTATATATATATATATATATATATATATATATATATATATATATATATTTATTTGTATTTATTCATATTAGATCATTCTGTTAATTAATTCGTTAATGTGAGCTTCTCTATTTCCCCAATCTCCTGGTCTTGGTTCGTTGAATGCATGTCTCTTTGCTTTGAATCCTTTTCTGGGTGGTTTTAATTTAAATGCCCATAAGAAATTATTAACCTTTTTAAAAACAGGTCCACAAGTATATAATTGATATACCATATCTTCAATTCCATGTACATTATATTTTCCTAAATGTTTTGAAATATCAGCATTATCTTGTATTTTTTTTCTTGCATATCTTCTTACTTTTCCAACTCTTACATATCCTCTCTTGTATAATAATTTTCTTACAGTCGATAAAGTGGGATATCCATAAGTAACATAAGGCTCAACAATTTTTAACATTTCTTTAGTTGCCTTATTTACTTTTACAAATACACCATTGTGTACTTGTAATAATCTTAATAAACGAAAAACAGATCTAACCTTTGGAGGCAATTTGTTAACACCCTTTAATCTTATAACAAATACAACTTTATTTTCAGCTTCTCTATAAAAGCAGTTGTTTTTCCTTGCCTCTCTTTTTAATTCTACAATTTTTTTCCTTTCATTCTCATATTCTTCTTCATACCTTAATGTTCTTTGTCGTAAGTCATTTCTTTTCTTTTTATTTATCTAAACAAAATAAAATAAGTGGTAACCAATTTATACAAACACATACAATATATAAATATATACACATATATACATATATATATATATATATAATTTTATATGATATAATATTAAAAAACAAAGATAAAACAGGAAAATATTATTCATATAACAATTTAATATACACCTAATATGTGTACATTATTATAATTAATACTATTTTTTCTTCTTTCTTTTTTTTCTTCCTTACTAATTTCAATGTTTTTATCTTTTTGCTAGCTGCTAATTTTAATTCCTTATTTTTGTTAACCTTCTTAGTTCTCAAACTGGTCATATTTTTTCCTAGTTCATTTTCAACTTGATTTTCATACCTATCCTATAATTACAAAAAAAAAAAAAAAAAAAAAATGAGGGTGGATGAAAAAAATAAATATATGTATTTTATGTATTGTTATATAAAAGTATATGTTTAACATATAATATCAAACATGTAAAAATAGCAAACATAAGTTTATATATATATATATATATTATAATTATATATGAAAATTCTTCAAAATAATAATTTATATAAAAATATTCATTTATTTTATTTTTTTATTTTTATCCTTACTGCCATTGTTAATAAAAATATGTGAAAGTTTATAGAATTTTTTTAATTCTTTTTATATTATTATATATTATTAATAAATTATATAAGAACTTATGAAAAGTTATATTATGAAGAAAAAAAAAA